TCGGTATTTGCTCCTCTCATTTCCACAGGAGGGCACCAGATACCCGTGTTTAAATCGAGTTTTTATTATTTTCCTGAGGCTCTTGTGTTCCCTCATGTTCACATCCTTTCTTTCCAAAACATAAAGGCCTTGGCATTTTTGTATGATGCTTTTCAAGACCAAAATCCACCATATTTCACATTATCCTGGATAATGGTGTAATGAAATAATATCCCACATGTGTGCTTTAATCCAGTTTTATTTTGTCTTTTCCTCTGACAACTCAGAGCAGCCTTGCTGCTTGGGTGCAGGGGGACCCCATGGGGGATGTGACCAGGGTTTAGCAGTCAATTTAAAATCTTGTGGCAAGCACATTTCTCTCCCTCTCAGGATTTTTCATAGAGGTGCAAAGAGAGAAATGAAAGAGAAAACAATTTCTATTTCTGCTCCTTGTTTTTCCCATGTGGAATGTGTCTGGAGAATTGTTTACCTGCAGGTTGGATTCTGGTGAGGATTATTTGAGCCTGGTGGCCAATCCAACCCACCTGGCCAAATTGCTCTGACTTTCACCAGAGTTAAAAAATCAAATAGAGAGGCTCTCTTCACCCTGACCAGCAAACCCAGGTGGGACCCAACTCCTGCACAGACCTTTTGTGGTTTTTGGGCAGGCAATCAGTCCTTATTAAATATCTCTGTTGTAGTGCTGCAGAGTTGTGTTGGGATGGTGAATAACAGAGGATTCATCAGCGCAGCCCTGAAAAATCTCCCACTTTGTGGGGCTGAATGGGTCATAATCTGGAACAATAGAGTGGGGGGAAAGTAGGAAAAAAGAAAAAAAAAGGAAAAAATTAAGTTTTTGCCCTTTTTGCTCCGGGGGAGCTCCTCCAGTGCTACCAGACACATCTTCTGTCACTGCAGGCTCATCTTCCCAGCACACTGAGGTTGGCTGGTGGGTTTTTTTTTCCTAATCCAGTTTTAGAGCAGTTTTCCCTGATATTTGATTTCGCAACAGCCACCAGAGGGCAAGAGCCCTTCATCCCTGGCTGGAGACATATCCCTGTGCATCCACCCTGGACTGAAAACACTACTTAAATCAATAATAGGATTTCCATCCATTTCAGCGCTCTTTGGATTGGGTCCTAGAGTTCTTAAAAAAACACAAAGCGAAGCCAGCAGGATGTTTTATATAAACTTAGAAACAAGGTTTTATAAACTGCAAAAAGCCCCTGGCATTTATATGCTTTGGGATTTGCTGTAACCTGTCACTTGGCTATGAAATGGGCCTTTTTATTTATAATATATTTATTTCCTAAATACCCAACGTATTATGAACCAACCACAGCAACAGAGGGGACATAACCCAAATCCCTGCAACTTTATGAGATCAGCCTCTCAGCACTGCGAGATCGTGCAGGGATCTTTGCATTAGTGGCACTTGTATCTACAAGCATCAATTTTTCTTCTAGTCAGAGAAGAGGAGGAAGTGAGGATGTGTGAGGGAAAAACCAACATGGGGACCCAAAGTTTGGTAGAAAAAGAGGTACTGGAAAAAGCTGTGATTGAGTGGGGTACCCAAACAGAGAGAGAGAGGGCCCCTGCTTCCAGATACAGAGAACAGAATCCTTGCTTTCAAACTAGAGCAGCCTATCCTTAGAGGACTGCACCCCATGGACTATATTTCTGCACCTGTTGGAACTCAACATGTCCCTCAGACATTTTTGGATGTTCCGGGCCCAGGTCAGAAGCATTTGAGACCCTGGCAGGCAGCTGGAAACAGCTGTGATTTTGGGTTTGAGCCATGGAACGATTTACCAACCTTGCAGGAAGAACAAGAAGTCACAAAAGTTTAGATATTAGAGTAGAAGTAGTCACAAAGTAGAGGGAAGAATTTTTGAGTGTTGTACAGGGGGGTTTGGGTTTGTACATGGGGGCCAGAGGGTTTAAGATGGAGGGATTTGGGCCTGCCCTGTCCTCCCTCTTTCTCCTTCCTTACCTCCATGTTCCTGGTGATGTTGGCACTCACAGATTGGTTTAGAGTAGAAAGGCACCATTTAATATAGGTAATAGGCATTGGGGAAAAACTGTAAACATTTATCACATAATGTACCATATAAAAGATTTCAGCAGCCCTGGGTGGGGAGAAAAGAAGAAATTAGGGGACAGAGAGGATGTCAGGGTGTGTGTGTGCCTCTGCCTGAGCTGTGAGCAAACCACAGCAGCCCAAGGAGAAAATCTTTTAGATAACTTGCAATAAACTGCCTTGAGACCGAACAATATGTCGAGATCCATATAGAAATATAGCTTGGGATGAGATTTATATTCAGATATTTCCTGGGTAGACACAGCAGGCATGTCGCAAATGAAACAACAACCCAACCAAGCCTTGTAATTTAATTTAACTGCCTCTCTTTGGGGTATGTGTCATGCATTCAGAATCAGGCAGCTGAATTCCCAATCAAATGCTCCTTGGGTATAACAGCAGAGTTTAAGGCATAGAAGTGCCTGAAAATAGCTTGCTAACAACCCCATGGAACCTGTGCTTTTGGCAAAAGGAGGAGGCAATTTATGGCTCTGGGCTCAGTGCTCATAAATAAGTGCATGTTCCTTTTCGTCTGCATTGGCAGGGCTTTGGCTGTTCATATTCTATATAATTTCTCATACACACTATAAATTCTCGTACAACTCCTCAGGCAGTTGATGGGAACGCACAGACTTTTGGGGGATGTGAATTTATCCTGTTTGAACTGGCACGAGTTCTCTGTGTGTACCTTGTGAGGAAATTCTTCCTGCACTGAGTACTCCAAATCCACTTCTGCTTCACCAACCTGAACCCTGATAAGCTGCTTGTTTTACTAAATTTGCTTGAAATATTGTTTTCTATAAAGGGAACAGCAGCAAACAAAAATTTTAGATTCTCGCCTTCATATTTTGTGACATCTGGTAGCAGCAAAAGTACTTTTTGAAGTAGATAAACAGTAGTGAAGTAATTGAAGTAGATAAATAGTCTAAAGAGGACAAAAAAATAGGAAAAATAGAAACACTTTGAGTTTGGTGGTTAAATTCAGCTGCCCCAGTGCAGAGCACTAGGCAGCAGTGCCTGAACTAAGTACTAAAAAAACAGAATGAAAAGGTCTTTTTCGCTGTGATTATTCTGATGGGGCTCTGACAGAGTAAGACTGAAAGCAGAAAAAAGTCAATTTTCTAGGAGTGTAGACAAATGTAAGGCCAAGGGAATGGGAAGAAGAATAATAGTAGTAATAAAGATAATGATCACAGAATGGTTAATGGTTGAGAGCAGTCACTAGTGGTGTCACAAAAGTAATAATAGTAATATTAACAACAATGGCCAAATAGCCCCCACTCATCTCTGAAATGGATCTCTTTCAGGATTTTTGAGAAAACTGGTTTTCTTGCAGGTCAGCTGACACACTGGATAATTAAATACGTAAGGAAAAGACAGGTGTCTTTTGCTTTTGGGGGTTTAATTAGTGATCCCTGGCTTTAACAATAATTAAGTTTGTCCTCCATTTTCCAAGTGCTGAAGGAAAGAAATGCTTTTAAACCCTGGCAGTGCTCCTCCCTCATGCCCCCTCCTGCACCACAGCTCCGGTTATAGCACCATTACTTTGAGATTTTTATGGCTCTCAGGGGAAACTCAGAACATTCCTGAAACTGAAGTAGCATTTTGGAGTCCCTGAGCTGGAGTTCAGCCTCTTTCAAGGATAAATCACGGGAGCTGCCAACAGAGGGGATACTTGGCTTAAGAGGCAGGGGGGTCAACAGAATTGAGAGCAGAATCTGTCTGGGAAATGAAGCAGTGCCATCTTCACCAGCTGCCCATGGGTGGGCAAAGTATCAAAGAAATCTGAGGAGCCAGAGAGGGGTAAATCAATGGCAAAAAAGCACAAGAATTTGATTAATTCATGCCCTTGTAGTGAAATTCAACGAATGCACCAAAATGTGTTAATTTTTCCCTGACATATGTCAGTTTTTCAAAGTAATTGATGGTGTTTTATGAGGCTTTGCACAGAGGGAAGTTTGGACACTGAAAAAGTGGTGACTTGTGTAAGATCAAAAATTCATCACCCTGTCAGGAAAATCCTTATCCCTAAGGATATCCCTAATCCCAGAATCCTTATCCAAATTGCCAGAAAATGTGACTCCTTCCTCTCCTCCCCTGGCAGGATCCAGCAAGGGAGGGACACCTGTAATACAAGGAAGGACCTGCAGCCACATCACCCAGACTGATGATGATGATGATGATGATGTGAAATCTTAGCTGAACTGGATTTAAATTATAAAGCCAAGCAAAAATGCATATTTTTATTTAAAATTTTTTCTTTTATCTGGTGGTCACAAGGGCATTCTGACAATCCAAGTTATTCCTTAGAGCTGCAACAGGTTTTGTGGCCAACTGTAAGTTCAGGATGGAATTTTTTAGAGCAGGGTCTGTGTCCATTAAAGACCAAATCCTGATCCTTTTCTGCAGCTCTTAGACTCTACTGCAGCATGAAATTATTCAGGATAAATGCATATTTTAATCCAGAAAGAGAACAGATCTGTGGAGGAAGCAGGGGGGCAGCTGAGGATTGATTTTGGTTTGGTGTTTTTTTTTCATTTAAAGGTTTCTCCAGAGTTTCCCTGGATGAAATTTCCCAGGGTTTCACTCGAGGCAATGGATGAGCATTGTTCTGCAGGTGTTTGTTTATAAGAAATACAGCAAAATGAGCTGGATTTCATCTGGGACCTGATGTTTTACTGTAAGCAAGCTGAAAGAGCAGAGTAAGGACCTGGGTGCCAAATGAAATTGCTCAAAGTTTTTTTTAAGAATTTCAATTTTTTACAGTAGAAATATAAGTTTAATTCCTTTATTCACTTTGCATCTTGCTCCTACTAAACCCCACTAAGATCAGAAGTATTGGGAAGAATCTCTACCTGATCCTCTGCCTAAAATGTTTGTTGAAAGGGAGAAGACAAAACTGTATGAATAATTTGGAGAAAAACCACAACCACCAGACTTACAGCTCACATATCCCAAAGTACACATCCCCCCCCAATAATTTATTTGTTCAACTTAGCAAGATTTCATATACATTCAGTACTTTGTTCAGGAAATTACCAGCATGAACTGTTCAAACATGACAAAGCTGGAAAACAGCCTGTAGACAATTCAGTGCCATGGGAATACCACATTCAGAAAATGCAGCACCTGCTTCAGGAGAAATCTTTTAAAACCAGCCAAACTTGTACAACATGCAGGCAAAAAGCTGCTGGAGGGAGGAAAAAAAAAAAAAAGCCAAAAAAGCCCAAATCAGCTTGTATACAATTCCACAGTCATACTGTCAGGGAGAATTGAGTATTCAGTGAAATTCAGGGAAATTCTATCATTGGCTGAGTGGACTTACTTGGGAAGTGGAAATATGCTGAAATACTGGGCAGGTTTGTGTTTTCCCACTTCAGAAATTGGTTTACTAGGGCTGAATTTTGGCAGCTGATAAAAAATCTGGATTAATACAAGAAAGTCTCATTCTTTGGATGAGAGATTGAGCACTGTAAAATTATGTTTATTTTCACTATTAACATGTGGAGGTTTTTGACTCTGAAAAAGATCTTGATGAGGATAAAGGAGAGGTCGTTACTCATCCTGGGTTTGAGCCCGGTGTTGCTCTGAGAGGAAAATGTTCATTAAGTGGAGTTTTGAGCCCTCTGTGGGACTGACAGATATGTTCTTTCTCACGTGATGATTCCATCCATAGCTCTCCTCCTCAGCAATTAATTTCCCCTTAGCATACATTTGCTATTTTCTCCTTCTCTGTCAGCATGAGAAATATGCAGTGTGCTCTGCGGAGAAGGAATGACATTTCACTCCAATCCCCAGGACAAGTGCTCCATCTCCTCCCAGGAAATCAGAGATTTGATTACATCTGCCAAGCTGGGGGGAAGGTCTCTATTTTAATGCACCACAGGGTACCTCTGTAGTATCTTGTGTTTTTTGTAGCACTGTCATATATGAAATACCTTCATAAATATCTGAGTGTGCCAGAGGTGCAGGCAGAGAACAGATGCTGCTGTCTCATGACCTGTTGGATTTTTTTCCTTCTGGCAAAGGATAACACTGGTGCAGGTCCCAAATTTGCCTGGAGCTAAGTGCAACACTTTGAAAACCAACTGGCTTTCCTCTTTGGCTCTGCTGTCAGAAGAGATCATCCAGGAAAAATTGGTGTCAACAGCCTGTCCCTTCGAGTTAGTTTTCAACATTGTCTTCCTTATCCAAACCATATTAAGACAGGAAAGGAGATCAAGGTATCTCTGGGTAGGATGTGGAGGTAATTACCCAGCGTGGATTGAGCCTGGGACAGCTGAAACCTCGCTGGATGAACCACAGAGTTGCTCTGTGCCTCAGCAGCTTTATTTTAAAATGTAGTGCCTGATAAAACCCCTCTGAGCCACGAGCAACAGCAGCTCAAGGCCAATGGGCACACCTAGAACTGGTCACTTCCACTTCAGCAAAGCAGTAAGACATTTTTTAACTGACTTCCATCAGTGCTGCAGCCTGTCAGTGTTGCTTTTCAGAAAACTGAAAAAGTCAGGCAGGGAAATTTTGTAAAGAAGCTTTGTGAAATCCATTTGCTTACTCCAAGCAGAGAAGCAAGAAATATTCCTGCCTTAATCTTTCTTCTTTTCAATGCTATGGATTTCCAGTACATTAAGGCCTGGCAAAGGAGAATATTAATTTACACAATGCACAATTTATCCTTGGAGCTGGCAGAGAGAAATAAAGAATATAAAAATGAGAAGACATTTATTTGGCTAGTGGGCAGAACTTAAATATTTTGGATTTGAAAAATCTTGCGAAGTACAGGAAGCCTCAAAATCATCAAATAGTATATCTGAATTGACTGTGGAAACTGGACTTTACCTGCCCTGGGATGAAGAGGGTGATTGGTGATCTGCTTCACCTCAGGCTGTGCAAATTAAGAGTCATCTCTGTGATGCTCCAGCTCTCAACTCTTTGCAGCAGAGACTGTGCTCCACCCAACATGGAAATCTTGGCTGTCACTGCCGACAGAAAACCCTGACTGGGGAGGATGGTGGGATGTCAGAGCCATCACTCTGAGGTTTCAGGCAGGACACAGCCACTGCCAGGTCAGTGGATGTGACTTTGAGAACTCCTGGCACTCCACTGCTCTCCCTTCCCATCTGGGCACTCTCTGATCTCTGCTCTGTGCTCCTGCCAGGTTCACACGACAGAATCCTGATGCTGGGAAGGTTTCACAAGTGATGATTGATGACCAGCTTCTGGGAAAACCTCTGGTCCTGTTCATGCTTTTAGACAGAAAGATACGTTAACCTCTGTGACTGCAGCTCTTTCACCAGTGCCAAGTTCACTTTAAATAACAGTAAAAATTGGGCTGCTTAAATCTGCACTCTTTTTTACTGTGTTTCCTGGAGCTCCTTCTGTAGTTTTTGAGACTTCTCAGTCTGAATATCCACCAAAATGACAAGTGCCAATGACCCTTCTTGCAACAAGGGAACAGGGCAGTTTTCCTGCAGAAATTCTCTGGGGGAGCCAAAGAAATGATGGGTTTGCTGTGACTGACAAGCCTGGCAGCAGCAGAGGTGTGGCTGGGATCAGGCTCACCTGATGCTGAGGACTAGGAGCTTTTCAGAGTCACTGGACACAGAGAGGTTCTTTAGAATCTGTTTGGTGACAGAAAAAAGGATGAAGATGAGACCAAGACTTCATTATTCCAACCTCTGTCTCTGCCATGCAGGAGAACTGTGTGACAACCACGTCCATCATGACACTGCCAGCAGCAGGTTGACTTATTTATCTTCATCTTACAGGGTCAGGTTATATTGCTGCATCAGAATTGCTCTGGAGTTAAATTAATCCAGCTGTGGGAGCCTCCATGTGTAGCTCCACAACAACTCCTTGCGTGACACCGTGAAACCTCAATAAATCTGAAATTACTCTAGCAGCCCTGTGTAAATCTCCCAGCTTCAAAGAAGAGATGGCAAAGAGGGTCTTACTGTCATAAAACAAATATTGGTTGTAGAATAAGACAGGGTTGGGCACCAAGACTGTGCAGTGAATACTTTAAATCTTGCCAGTCTTCCTCAATTTAAGGAGTGTTTTTCCAAAATGTTTCAAAATTCAGGTTTTGTCCACATACACTTCCCACATATCTGAACCCTTTTATACTGGAAAACTCAGCCATGAGTCTCACGTGACTTTCTTATGAGATTTCCAGCTTTTCTCCTTCTGCTCTTGGCTTGAAGCACCATAAGAATATTTTCTTACATGGTATTTCCACAATTTTAGCTTCAAATTCTTGTGCTGAAGAACTTTAAGTGTGAGGTGGATTTCTTATTTGAGCTAAAACTGGGATCATGCAACAGATTTCTGGGAGCGCATAAATAAAAGACACAGGAGACAAATCCTCTGACGTTGGGGACTTAATACTGGGTGAGAGATAAACAATGATTTCTCATCAACACCACCAAGGTGTTGTTTCAAGACCCTGTTGGATGATAATGACTCTTGAGCCGTTTCCCTTTTCAGGGTAGTGGATCTTCAGCACAGGAATCGACACAGAAAAGAGTAGGGGCTCATGTGTTGTTTCAAGGAGCTGAATTCTTGGCAGGCTCAGCAGGAGCAATGTCAAGAGTTGCTTATTTCTAATATTGCACAGAGAATTCCTCCCACTATTTCTTCCAGATGCTGGCCATCTCATTTATTTATTTATTTGGATTAGCTGTATTAAAATATAACATGCTTCCAAATTCTTTGCTCCCAAATTCCCAAGGGATGGCTCTTTCTCATGGGGATGGATGTCCTTAAGCCTTTTAAAATTTAACTCCCTCTGCTTAGAACAAGGGGAAAATTCCTGACTCCAGAGTACCCAGGATCTCACAGAAAGCTTTGAGCACTTGGTTTCTTCCCAACTTGAAGGAGTCGGGAAAATGAATGTAGCAAAACACTGGGCAGGGAGACAGGAAAGGCTTTTCCAGTGACTGTGGCACTGTGGCTATTGAACATAGAATTACTGAGCCTTTCAGCAGGTTCCTGATGGACTCAGAAGATGAAAAACAAAAGGATGAATGCAAGTGAGAACTTTGAGCCTTGTTTGATAAGAACTTACCTAGTTTTGAGTTTTATTAGACCTGCATCAAGGCGTACGGATGGTCTGAACAAACCAGGGACACATGCAAATTTTCATTTGGTATGGTGATTAGGGAGGCTGATTGTACAGAAAAGAAAAGTTCTCCTTGGTCTCTGAAGCTTGGTGGAGTTCAGTCATTTGGATCAAGTTTTCCTTGGCAAGGGAGTTGGCTGAAATGCACAGGTGAGGAGGTTTGGCTTTATGGGGAGGGGTGGAATCACAAAATGGCTCTGAAGGTGGAGCTGCCGCAGAGTGTCGAGGCTGAAATCAGTACAGGGTCTTTGTGGTTCTCACTTTCTCTTCCACTGACCCAAAATGACAGCAGTGGGAATTTAAATGAGGAGAATAGAGGGATAAAGCCCTTAAATGCCAAGGAAACATCTGGCAGATGCTGGACCCTCAGAATACCATCCTCTGAAGACATGCACTATCTTTGAGGGGCTCCATTCATGTTCCCAGCACTCACAGACATCCTTCCTCTAAGGATCTGGCCCTGTTTCCTCTGTTCATACCTGGATCCTTTCAACTATCACACCTATTCCTACTTCCCCATAAAAAGAGCAACATCCCATTAACCCCCAAACTGCCAGCCTGGTGCACCCAGCTGCTAATTATACATCCTCCCCGCTCTCGCTCAGGGAGATGGAGTGGATTTTAGTGGTTGGCACTTTGCAGTTCTCTCGGATGAGACTCCCAGAAGTGCCTGCACAGCAGCATTCCTGCAGGAACCCTTTGCTCTTGGCCTTAGCAGCTGTGCAGTCTTTGGAAACGGCGTTTTTGGCGGGCGCGCCCTGCACGGTAGAGAAGATCTTCCACTCGCAGACCCCGTCGGATTTGGAAATCTTGTAGAAGGTTTCTCCTGATCCCACGGGGATCCGCACCACCCCTTTGCCACTCTCCGTGCTCTCGCCAGCAGGATGGTTGAGGTTGAAGCTGGGGGTTTGCTTCACTGCTGGCTGCTTCCTCAGGAGGCACTGAGCTCTCAGGACGTTGTGGAACGCTTTCTTGAACTCCTGACTTGAGCATGGATAGATGATGGGGTTGATGCAGCTGTTTAAATATCCCAGCCAAAATGTTATTTTAAAAAGTGTGTCCGGGGGTTTGATTGCAGGAAAGAAAGAGCCTAAAATGGAAAACACACCAGAGTGTTAGGGCAGAGGCAGTGAGGAATTGCAGGTAACCAAAGAAACTAAAACACTGGAAAAAATAAATAGGATTCTGTTCCGTCTTGAAAAAATTATGATTGGGAACACAATTCCTGCAGGAACAAGTGTTTCACGATCTGTGATGTCATACTGTTACATGGATATTCCATCAGAAATCAAGTCAAGAGAGCTATTTTATAATTACAAGCATTATATTCCCATTTACAGCTAGACGGGCAGCCAGAGGGCTGATTCTAGGGATAGAGGAAAATTCCTTCCTCAGGGACTCCTAATTCAAGATTAATTACCCCAATGACAGCAATATCTTGGAGGTCACCCAAGGGGCTTCAGATTTCAACCTCCAACCTCATTATGCTGTGATTGTGTGTGATTTTCTTCTGTGGTTGCTCCAAGCTGGCCCAGGTAGAGCAGTTCCATTATTCCATTATCACTTTCAATATCAACCGGATTTTAAGAACAAAAAGGTTCTGCTGAAGAAAACAAACGCTGTTTTGCAGCGAAGCACAAGCAAGCACATGTATCCACAATCTAAATTTTTTTCTCAGCAAATTAATGCTTCTCTCCTTTAGTGCAAAACAACTAAATAACATTCTGAAAGAACTTTCTGGCTGAAGTCATTGGCAGATGAAATATAACAGAAGGCTTCTAAATGCTCAAATCATGCTCAATTTTTTGGTTTATTTCCTCATTTAAACGCATTGTATCTGCTGCTTTCCCATTTTGTGGTGAGAGAAAAGGTGAACCAAACCCCTGTTTAGGGAATCAGCTGTGTGAGGCCAAGTGTAAAAATGGGTAAACAATAACAATTCCTGTTTGCTGCAACTCCTCGCTCTCTCCAGATGGAATGCAAGGCTTGTGCCAAAGTCTGACAAAAATAGAAAACAGCCAATGTCAGAGTCTGTCCCTTGCTCTTTTTTTGGGGTGGGATCTGCATGTTAATTTATTAATGTAGCCTTTTTTGGTTCATCTGTGGAGACACTCGTTGCCTTGGAATGACACACAGTGAAAGAAAATGAAGGAGCTTTAACAGCACAGAGACTTTGCTATCTACAGATCCCACTACACAGTGGCTTTCAGATAATCAGGGAATGGTTTGCATTGGAAAGGAAATGAAAGATCATCTAATTCCAGCCCTCTGCCCTGGGCAGGGACATCTTCCACTATTCCAGGGTGCTCCAGCCTGGCCATGGACACTTCTAGGGATGGAGCAGCCACAGCTTCTGTGGGAATTCCATCCCAGTCCTTCACCACCCTCACAGGGAGGAATTTCTTCCCAATATCTAATCCAAGTGTACCCTCCTTCACCTCAAAGTCATTCCCCCCTGTGGTATCAGTGCATACCCTGGTAAAAACTCCTCCTCCAGCCTTCCTGTAGGGTGTGTTTGACACTCAGGGGCCACCGAAATATCTGTTACCTCTGTAGCTCAGAAATAGTCCCTAATCTTTCCTGTTGGCTACCCGAGTATCTAGGAAAAGGGGAAAAATATCTTATTTTCCAAATCCTTGAGGAATGGTGTTCCTCCCCACAGAATCCTAAGAACGTGTCCCTTTCTTCCGAGCTTTTAATATTCAGTGATGTTGTTGTGATCAATCTCAGTGGCTGATGGATCTGGTAATGAGCAGGAGGCACCTTCAAACCTGGTGACAAAGTAGTTTGTTCAGTGCTGAGCCCTCAGAATGGACAGGTCAGGTCAGATGAACTCAAAGGAGAAATAAAACAAGGATTTTGTGGGATTTTTTTTTAAACAATGACCATAATTAATAATGAGATTAAACAGGAGTGGTGAATTATCTCTTTTTTTAGGGTGTATGGTACATGTTCCCTACAGAGCAGTGAGCACAGGGAAAGCAGGTGGAGCTGGGATGATCATTTTCATTCAATCCTTGACCCTTTGGTGACTGCCAATTTATGTCAGTTAAAGTTTGGACACTTGGACACCATCAGCTATGGCTGAGAAAACAGAATTATTGCACCTAAATCTCAGAGCAAATTTTTCCAGTCCTCTCACTCCAGGCCAAGTGGAATCACAGGTGCCATGCAGGTGTCCTATAGGAGAGCTAGAGGGTGAACAGCAGCTAAGATACTAAGTTTTCACCCTTGAAATTAATTCTCTGTGCTATTCACTGGGTTTAATATCTTCCTTTGCACACTGTCAGGAATTAGTTCATAAGTGTAGCAAACCTGATTAAAGTTTAAAGGCTTCACCTTACACTGTCTCCCTGCAGTCTGTGCTGGAGGAACAGTAAAGAAAGCTTCAAGGAGTCTTTTCATGCATTTTGAATAATGGATTGGGTAAATGATGCTGCAATTCCTGCTTTGTTTTCAAAAGGTTGAGGACAATCAAGTGTCAGTAGCACAATTCAATTGCTTCTTGTAAAAGTAAATAAAATAAAAAGTACTATGAGCCTCCCGAGATCTTTTGCCATTAAGTACTTCATCACTCATCCCTTGAAATGTCGGCATTGCATTTTCTTCCCTCATCTTTTATTTTCCTGTTTGTCAGCTGGAAGTTTCTTCAGCTCTGAGAGATAAGTTTGCCACATCGCTCCTGGTGAGTAAGTGCCAACTCACTCTCAAAGATGTAATTTGACTTTGTCATTTGTCACAAGGGCTGCCTGATTATGGGTTGTTTAAAAACCAGCCCAGATGTCACGCATCATTTCCCTGATGGACAGCAGAGAGGATTTTGGAACCTGCAAGACTGTAAAAATGTGTGTTATTTACTCTACATCATTCCTGTCAGCACCACGGGAATCAGATCCTCTACATTTGTGTGACCCATAAACCCTTTGTGGTGCTAAAAACCATCTTGGCTATAAACCCATCTCTGCTACTAATCCATCTCGGCTATAAATCCATCTCTACTACAAAATCCATCTCTGCTACTGAATCTTGCAGCTCTGTTTAGGTTCCCAGCATTTTTTCCCCTCTTTTTATTTTGTGTAGCTTAAATCTGGTCACTGAGGCAGAGCACAGACGTCAGGTGGGGGTGATGCTGCTTCAGTGCATGGGGGAGGTCAGGGTTGTGTCCATAGAGAATCCCAGATTGGTTTGGGTTGGAAAGAACCTTAATCCCATCCAGGGGCACCCCCTGCCATGGCCAGGGACACATTCCACCATCCCAGGGTGCTCCAAGGCCTGTCCAACCTGGATTTGGGCACTGCCTGGGATCTGGGGCAGCCACAGCTTCTCTGGGAATTCCCTCCCAGACCCTCCCCACCCTCCCAGAGAACATTTCCAATATCCCATCTAACCCTACCCCCTGGCACAGGGAAGCCATTTCCACTTGTTTTGTAATTCCCTTGTCCCACGTCCCTCTCCAGCTCTTGAATCCCTTTCAGGCTGGGAAAAAGAAGAGTGCTCTGGTTACAGAGAAGAAGAGCTCAAAACTCAGGTCCTGGGATGATCTGCCTTGAAGCAATCAGTCCAGAGGGCAGCAGCTCTTCCAGAGCCATAAAGACCAAGAGGATGAAGCACAGAGGAGCACTGATATTCCAAAGGGAATTAACTGTGTACCAGGGCCTCCCTAATCTCTCATGGCTCTACAAACATTGATAAATATGCTTCATTTATGTTCCCTAGCCGAGTGTTAGCTCTAAACTTTATTCCCTAAGACAAGAGTTCTATCCTGCATCTCAGGTCATGATTCAAGCCACGCTCTGGAAAGTGTATTTATAAAAATAAGTATATATAAGTATAAATATCCATATAAATAAATAAATAAATAAACATAAATAAATAAACATATCTACATATATAAATACATACATATATATATATATATATATATGTATGCTGCTGCAGACATTCAAAGCTGCCCCCCTGTACACACATGACATCTCCAATATCCTCTCATTGCTCCCTTATGGGAACTATTTTTTATAGAATAAAAAATGGTATCAAGGAACTGTTAGACAGTAGGAAATGATCCTGGACTCAGCACAATCCAATTAACACAACCCGTGCAGAAAAAGCAGTGATGTGAGGAAGTCTTGCACTTTCCAGTTGTGCCTCCCCAGGGCCTGGAATATTGTGGCTATTCCACAGAGAAAATGAGAAGGCTTTTGTGCTTGGCTATCCCTGATCCACAATAAACAGACACAGAAGGAGGACCAAGTTTGTTTTCCCTCCCAAATCCTGAATTCAGTTCTCTGCGGCACCATGAGGGTGTCTGGGCACAGGTGAGAGGTGAAAAGGTCAGGCAGCAGGAATGGGTCAGTCTGGGAACACTGCTCTGATGATTTGGATTATTTCAGACCTAATTTATGCTCTGTTTCATATTGTACCCACGTAGTATGGATGATATTTCTGGGAAATATCTCAGCAAGCAACTATTTCCAGATTTGCTGTGGGCAGCTGCAGATTTAGAAAGCTGATAAAAAACCATGGGAAGGTAAACTGAGGTTTTGTTATCCGTGTGAACCCAAACAATCACATTGTTTCACAAATCAATGTAGTTGTCACTCCAATTCCAGTTCTCAAGCTCTTACTGCAGTGGAATGGGTCTGGATCTCACTGTTGATAGGTTGGAGATATTTGATATTTGCCCTGAAGCCCTCACTCTTGAAGTCATTCACTTAAAATAAAATAACAATTTTTCTTTAAAAAAACTAACCAGAGAATAGTTTGAGAATCTGGGTCAGTCTCAGGCTATGTCATTGTTGTCTGTCATGATTTTGGAATCCTTGGAGTTCGAAACAAGAAATTATCTCCTTCATCAAGAGCCAAGTATCTCTCCCATTATCCAAACTGCAGACAAATCCTGACATTTGCTCAGTGGGGTGGGAGAGTCACTCACCACGGCCTTTCCATCACTCCCCAACACTGAATTGTGCTTTTTTCCTCCCTTTCTCACTGAGAGAACACTGAAATACTAATGTGGGGAGTCTGTGTTGGTGTGTGTTGCTACTCTGAGTCTTTTGACCCTCTGAGAGGTCATGTTGCGTCAACAGCAGAGACGGAAAAATGTACTTTATTTTTTTATGTCTAATGAAAGTAGAATTAGTAATGAAAGTAATGAAAAAAATTACCACAAAACAGTAAATAGAAACCATCTGCAGACAGGATTAGAGGATTTCCTTGACAGTGTTTGTGTCAGTTCACAAGACTAATTTACTCCTCGACCACAAATAAAAACACCCTCCGGCAGATCTTCTTTCTTGCTTTCTTAATTACGAGAATGATTGAAAAATGCTAAAACACTTCCTCCAGAACTGTGAAACTCCTCCAGAACTGATGGGACCGTGTTTTGGTCTGTCTCATGGCCACAAAGCTGCAGAGCTGATCAAGTTCTGGCTGCCCAGCCATGTATGCTATGAGACTCCACCAGGGTTTCAACAAGGAGGATTTTACACATCTGGAAAGTCGGGACCCCAAAACCCTGTCAGGATCACTTCCCTTCACTGTCCCAGACAGACCTGAAAGTGATTGTTATCTTTTGGAAAGTGCCCTGCATCTAGATGAGTCCTTGGCTTTTTTTGAGGACTTCTTTAGTGCCATTCATCTGTTTAATCCGTTTTTTTGTCCTTAATCAAAAGCAGCAAGTAGGTTCTGAAAGCCCTATAATATATGCTTTAAAAATGACCCAGTAACCCCCCAAAAAACAGTAAAAAAATACCTCCAGAGTTTCCTTACAAGGGATCAAAGGAGGATACAAAGCCATTCTGGAGCCCAGAAAATTTCTTAAATCCAAAACAGATTAATTAACAGCTCTGTATGGGCAACCAAATTTGCAGATGAAAAGTGTGTTTAATGCATTCTCTCAAACCCTTTTTGAGTATGTTCCAGTCATCTTGGCAAGCAGCATTCCAGCGTGCTGACATCCTGGCCAGCACAAGCCAGGCTCTCGGGGGCTTCTCCTTAGGAAACAGTTCCAATCCAGCCTGCCCAGTATTAACCAAGAGGAAAAAAAATCTGATTTTTTGGTTTTTTTTCACATTAGCAACGGGTTTTTGTGTGTCTTGATAAATCTTGGTAAAACCAGTAGAGGTTAATTGAAAAAGAACAGTTATTTATAAGTCTGGAAAATCAGAATTAAAAAAAAATAAAAATAACCCCCCCAAATCTTTATTTTCATGTAAGACTGTTTTACCTTTTCTGAATTGTACATATTGTTGTCTTACTAACTAAAGCTTCCATAAAATCTTACTTTATTTTTCCTGTACAGCATAAGCCCTTTCCATAAGAAAAGCCCGGAAATTAAACAAGTCACAGATTTTAGTTTCCATATTTGAAAAACCCAATATTTAATGGCAGAGCCAACTCAGTGTGATGAGCCACGTCCCTCACCCTCAGCTATAGGTATGAAATCAGTATTCTGCTTTTCCATCCTGCAACTGCATCAAACATAACTGAGCAAGGTTTAATTAAAATTCTAATTACTTCTTCATATTCCAGCAAAGCAGAACAAATTCCTAGCTTTGCTCCTGTTTGGAATGACAACAGAAGAATAAATATTCATTCCCAGCACGGTGGCTGAGCCAGTGTTTGGCCGGTGGGCTCAATGGGTTCCCAGAAAAGATGCAATCCAGAGCAGTATAAAATCAGTTGGAAGGACCCTCACTGCTGTCTCCTGACTGGTCATATCAAAACTGGATTAAAAGATTAAATTTTTTTGGAGTTATGGTATTGCACAGGATGAATTTCCCGATAGGAAATGAATATTTTTTTCCTTAGAGTGGGAATCATCAATGCTGAGCACTCCAGGAGATCTGTGAAAGCTACTTCAACCCTGAATGTATTTATATCCTGACCTTTTACACGTTTAAGTTGCCTGGCTGCAAACATCAACACACAAACCCCCAAACATCCTGTTCCTATAGCCGAGATGGTCACAAATATCTGCTCTAGTTCACAAAAAAGGATTTTCTATGTGGAAAAGTATAATATTGCTCCCCTGGTTTTCAGAATTTTGCTTCTCATCACCAGGGACCAGATTTGGTCTAATGTAAGACTTGTGTTTTTTTCATGGTGCCTGCTTTGTGGTGGTGAGTGTTTTGTTTTTTGACAGCTTTGCAGTACAAAATTAATCCCTCTGAGCTTTTCTGACCAGCCTTACCACACCCAGCCACAAGCACAGCCCTCCCTGCCCAGAAGGCGCTGGAAGACACACAGGGGTTGGCTCTACTTACCAAGAGGCATTACTACGAAAAACGGGAGCCAGCAGAGAACGAAGCATCCCACAACTATTCCCAGGGTCTTGGCAGCTTTTTTTTCCCTGGAGAACTTGAGCAGGCGCACGGAGAAGTGGTGCTTGCTCTTGGGGTTGGGCGCGGAGCCGCTCGCACCGCGTGCGTTTTTGCGGTGGATGCGGAGCGTCACCTCCTCGGAACGGGATTTCTCCGTCTTCAGCCCACAGGTCAACCCTTTGTTTTCCCTTTTGGCCACCACGTAGACCCGGCAGTACATCACCAAGATGATGATCAGGGGGAGGTAGAAGGAGCCCAGAGCTGAGAACAAGACGTAGCCGGGTTCCTCGGTGATCTGGCAGATGGTCTCATCCTCCGGGGCTGGCTCCTTCCAGCCGAAAAGGGGCCCGATGGAGATGACCAGGGACAGTGCCCAGACACACAGCAGGGCCAGCAGGCCCCTCCTCTCTGTCACTATGCTGGGGTACCTCAGTGGGTAGCTCACCCCAATGTATCGGTCGATGGAGATGACGCAGAGGCTCATGATGGAAGCCGTGCAGCAAAGCACGTCGACAGCTGCCCAGATGTTGCAGAAGATCCTCCCGAAGACCCAGTAGCCCAAAATCTCCATGGTAGCTGAGAAGGGCAGGACGGTAGAAGTCAGGAGGAGGTCAGCTACAGCCAGGTTGATGATGTAATAGTGGGTGACACTCTGTAGATGTCTGTGGCAGGCTACGGACAGGATCACCAGGATATTACCCAAAACCCCAAAACCAATCAGCCCCCCTAGAATAACACCCAGTAAGATGGCCTTGGAAATGTTCACAGGCTCCACAGAGTGGGTGCAGTTGGAGCATTCGGAAGAGTTTCCAGGGAGGAGAGCCATGGCTGGCAATGTCCATGTGAGGCTGCTGAACTTCACCCCCTTTCCAGGCAGGAACGGTGACAAGATCAGGAAGGTCCTATAGGCAACATTTGCTTAGCCTTGCTGGGGAAAAGAGTTTTAGAAGAATGTTTTAGGACTGCAGCAGCAGCAGCAATGAGAAAGATCCAGAAACATATCAGAAAACTCACCTTTGCTCATAAGCTTTCAGCAGAATAACATGGTTGATACCAGTTCCAAGTCAAATTTAACTCCTTCTGCATTTTCCTTGGGGTGCACAAGTGGGGCTACACAAACCTGAGGCTGTTTGTCCTAATTTCCAGGGTCATGTCATAAGAAATACTGGAGCTGCAGGTTAAAATAATTTCTGTCTTTTGGGGAAGGTTCTGTATTTCAGGAAAGTAAATATTCCAAAGGGTCTCCAATTTAGCTTCTCCTGAGAGGAAATCACTGATGCTGAATCATGTTAGTCCTGATTCTGCCTTAAAATTGGCTTAGAAACCTGACTGGATGGAATTTTACTGCTGTGTCTGCTCAGCAATTTTGTTGGAGATACCCACCACTCCCCATCCTCAGCGTTTAGGCTGTGAGTCAGAGCTTTCCATATGTGGAGCGCTCATCAGTCGAGGTCCTGGGCTGCAAATTAAAGCTCATATACATCTCCTCCTCCTGGCTTGCTCTGAGGGGAAGAGTGGAGTTTGCCATGTGCACAGGGCCATGCTCTTGTGCTCTCTGCAGATCCTCACCCCCCTGGAGAAGACAAAAACACGAACAATGCAATTCCCAGAAGCCACACTCGCTGCTAGGGTTCCCATATAAGAATAGAGCAGGAGGCTATTTTAGGGTGCTTTCCTCAGGCTGGCTCCAGCCAGTGGAACCAACCTTTTCCAGCCCAGCACTGTTTAACAGAAACTGACAGATCCAAGTGGGTTTTCTTGCCTAAATTTTCCCTTCTTTATAGGGCTAGGCATCAATCCTAATTATTAGCTCACCTGCAGAGACCAGTTCTAGGAGAGACAGAAGCCTGCAGGACACAATTCAGGACTATACAAACTGTGCAGCAGATTTAGAAGCCCGGAATTTAATCTCAGGTTTCTTTATAAAGTGAGACCTCTCCCCACTAAAGTGTTAGTCCAGCTGAGCTGCCCATTTTGAAAATCTATAGGGCAAAGCAACTCCAAACCAAGCAGAAGACGTTACAAGGAGCAAGCCTCCAAGTGAGTGACACAACATTTCAGAGTATCTGGAAGCCAAGCTCAGCCTTTGCTGACTAAATATGGAGAAAAGGTACCTCAGATGGAAAAGTGAGGATTAGCCTGGGAACCGAGACCTGGGGGGCACGGAGAGGAGAGCTACAAGTGGAAGCTGCAAAACCTTTTCCAATACCTCCATATGCATTTAGAATTTCCATCCCAAATATTAATCAGAGGTGAAAAACCACCACTAAGACTGTGGCTGTAAAACCCCAGATGAGGAAGGACTCTGTAAGTGTCCTTTGGGATGAGCCCCTCAGATCACACTTTAAGCAGCAACAACTGTCCCATTCCCAAACCTTCACACCGAACTTTCCTGCAGGCAAAAGCATTTCAAATCTGAAGCCCCAAAATTCCCAGTTCACAGGCAGGGAGGAGGGAGGAAGGGGGAGATGGATAGGTATCACACTTTGGGAATTTTACTTCAGTACGCTAAAATGAAATTGGATCTTATTTTCTTTCCTACCTGATGGAACAAGTTGAAGAATAATCCCAAGGAAGAAAAGGACAGATTACCTACGCACATACATGAAAAGTGAGTGTTGCATCGAGCATCTCTGAGCATTATACTTGTGGTTATTACCAAATAATGCCCAGCCTGTGGAGATAGCTGATGCTGGGAAGAGCAGACCCCAGGCTGCTGTGATGGCCCCACACCCACCTCTTCAGTCTCCAGAAGGCAGCACATCCCCTGTGAGCATCTGGAAAGGAGATTCTCAGCACAGCAGGCTCCTGTGTCATGCAGGGATGGGGCTCCGTGCCTGGAAATCCTCAGCTTTGCTCCCTTTCTTGCCCCACTGGTGTTTCAGCAGCTGGCAGTGGGGCTGATTCCCTGTATCCCACGGCTGTCAGGGGCTGGCTCCAGGCTCCCTGGAGGGATCCTGCCTCCTTCAGAGCTCAGCTCCACACTGGCAAGGAGCAGCAGGAACTTCGCTGCTCTGCTTTGAAGCACAGCAGTAGTCTTACCATTACCGTAATTCCCTGCCACTCCCGTATTGCCCAGAAAGAAAGAGCACTCACAAGTGTAGTTTTAAATATTCTTTTCTTTTTTCATTTTTTTTTCCCACTCAAACTCCTGCAGAGACCAGAGAGTGTAAGGCAGATAACAAACTCCTGTTCGTGAGTTAATACAAAATTTTTGGGATCTAAAAATGAAATTTCCTGCAGGACAAACGGGACAAGGAGATGAAGGCAGGACACACTGCCTGGGGATTCTGGATGGTGGGACAAAGCACAGCTGACTGGAGATGGGGGTTTAAGGAGGAAATTCCTCCAGCAGAATGTGCTGTTGAAGGGAGGTTGGTTTTTCATGGCTTTTCATTGCAGTTAAAAAAAAAAATGTGTCCAAAATCCCCAATGAAGAACAGATACAAAAGTGATGTCCTGAAGTGAAGGGGACACAGAGTGGGATTTCAGAGCTAAAGGCCAGCAAACCCTGTAGCCACAAGGAAGCAGATGAACCATGTGCCTGTTCTTGCATGACAGACTCTCCACCTCCTCCTCCTGGGCAGTAACTTTGAGAGGGAAAGTTTGGGTTTTTGGGTTCAAGAGCAAGCATTCAAAATGTAGATTAAAAAAAGTGCTGGAAATAAAAAAAGACTAAAATTTTCAAACCAGGTAGATCTGTCTGTGATCTCATACTTAATTATTAGAGGTTTCTTTGTCTTGGGATTCATAAGGACTTTTTCACCATGTTCCTAAATCATTTAAGCACAGGCTGGCTAAACAAGATCCATGCTTTTGCATAAATCAAGGCAGCCTCATTAAAACCTCATGGTACCTTCTTAATTCTCCACAGATGAAAATTTGAGCCACTGGATTTTGTGTACAGCTGCAGGTCTGAGAGGAGCTGTTAAATGTTTATTTCTATGTAACTCACATTGAATTTCCTGGTTTGATTTATTACCTGGATGATCTGATAAAATCTGACCACATATGGAGGACAGGTCTCTTTTGTAGCCTCAGAAAGACTGATTTTACCTAGTGCTGAAATAAATCTACACAGACATAAGTGCTTGCCTGAGTTTTCATCCCTCCTATGTCTTGCTGCATCCTTTCCCATCCTGGCACTGCTGCTTCCCCCGGGTGAGAGTTCACACCACTTTTCTGAGCTTTAGCTCAACATTCATCTTTAATATGTAAAATAGCTGGGGGAAATTGAAGATGTGTCTAAATCATGCCTTCTTGGACTGATTTAAATCCTTCCTTCACTCTTTTTCTGCTGTCTGCCCATCTGTGAGAAGCCACAAGATCCAATGCACTGGAACACCTCCTTCATCCCACTGACTTGATTTCATCACCAAAGCTTCTCCCTTCATCTCCCTTTCCCATTCCAATTTTTGGCAAGAGCCCCCGTTAGGGCCGGAGCTCTGATTGTGTGTCCTGTGTGGCACATCCAGCTCTTTGGGCAGTGTAGTTCACAATCCATAGAACAGAAATCAACCCAGAGTTCTGCTTTTTCTTTCCTGGATCTGAGCTAGGTTGAGGTCTGGTCCTGTGCCTCAGCACTCGCCACAGGCCTGTAAGATTTCCTTGCCATCCAGGGCAGTAAATCTCTTAGGGAAACATGGCTCTGAAAAATCCCAGGGAAAAAAATTCCACCTTTATTCTTATCCCAGAGGGGCTGGAAGCCACTGTGAGTGTGTTGTGCCTTGTTTTGGCTGATTGTCCAGGCTCAGACCTCTCTTGCCATATGACTTTGTGTACAAATCCGTCATCTCTGCTGAGCCTCCACCTCCCTCCTGTGCTCCAACTGCAGCTTGTGTTTAAATAACCCTCTGGACAGCTCAGCCCACAGTGATGCTGTGTTTGATAGATGGAGCCTCTCATCTCCAAGGAGCTGTGGTACTTGGGGCCTATAAACGCAGAGCTCGTGCCACCCACTGCCATCCCTGGGCAACTGTTAGAAAAACAATTGTTTAGGGAAAGGATGGGAAAGAACATGCTTTTAGGGATGTATCAGTCTTTCCATAGGCACGTATTTACCCGTTATTTGCTTATCACCACATCTTGTTTGAGATGCCCTTGGAAGGAAAGGGGCCCACAGCAGAAATCAGCAGCCTGGAGAGGAACGTGGCAGCAGAGTCCTCTTGGCTGTGTGTCCCAGGGAGCAGCACTGGTGTGGGCAGGGAGGAGATCCTGAGCCCCCAAAGTCAGAGTCAACAGCTGGAGCTCCAGAAACGTGTCTGCTGAGTTCACTGTGCCCTGTCTTTGCCATGGATAGACACCCTCATTCCAGGACAGATCAGGCTAATTCAGGAGCCTGTCACGCAGCAGGAAGCACAGGATGTTCCAGAAGAAGATGCATTTGTAGAACAAGCCCACAAATCTACAGAAGACCAGACAATCAGCATCTGGTCTTACCTGTGCAAGACCTCTGGAGCTGCTGCTTTAACCTTTCCCAGGCCAGCCTGTCACCCTGGCAGCCTCCTCCTCAGAGGATGAGCCATGTCATTCCTGTCTCCTGCTGCATCCTCTTCTCCTTCACCCATCTGCTCTGTTGTGTCTTCAGCACAATCTCTTTTAGCCCAGCCCTGAAGAGAACACAGCACTCTTTGTTCCTAATTAAGATATTAAGGTTTTGCCATAACACCAAGAGCCAGGCTTTATTCTTTCTCACTGGTGTGGTGGGCAATTACTGTTTTTCTGGTTAGCAGCCAGGCACAGCAGTGAACTCCAACCAGCCTGGCTTACCAGGGAAGCAGACTTTCATGATTATCCAATTTTTCATTCTGCATTCATAGATATTTCCCGACACCAACTCATCAGACTGGGATGATGTCCAAGACTCCAAACATCAAGGTGAGGAAAGCACATGATGAAGATGCTTGTCAAGACCTCCTGCCTGAGCTGGATTTGGCCAGGAACCCCCTAAATAAAGCAGTAAGAAACCAGGATCATTTCTACCTGCTCAGGCCTGGCTCACACCTTGTGGAGTCAAAGTGCATCCAGGGGAGAGGGGATGGGCAAAGCAAAATGGGGTCCCTGCAGTTATGGATCTTCAGATCTGAGGGAAAAAATCTCGTTCCAAAGTTAACTGAGAGATCCATCCCTGACCTGGCTTTCTTCCCTTGGATGGAGCAGGGAGTGGCTCAGCTTTTGTTAAACAGTAGGAAGGGATAACAGGGCTCAGGGGGCAGCAGGGACTGTTGAGCTGGCAACTTGAGGAGTTTTGAAAAGCCTGTGGTTTAACCCCAGATGAATTCACATTTTCTGAGTAATCTTCAAAAGCAAAGCTTGTTGCCATGAAACAGCAAATCTCCCAAATCCCAGTTTTCCACAAGTGAAGTGGAAGCTGTGACTGCTCCTCAGCCAGACCCTCCAGGCTGCACCAAGGCAAGGAGCAGAGCCTTGTTTTGGGAGAAAATCTGAAAATCCAGACAGCCTTGAAAATCCTGGGGGAGAGGATCAGGCTCCATTGCAAAGAAAAGAGCAATCTGCAGAAAATAATTATGGATTTCCACAGCAACACTGCTTATTTCTCTTGTTCACATCTGTGGTAGTCTGTTATTGTACAGTTTGCTCTTCTGTAGTAGGTTTTAAATATTCCTTGTTATAAGTCTGTAATGGATCATTCTATGTACTGAATTTGGCTTCCCTAATGGTTCAGTCCTGAGTTGTTTACCCCAAAATTTTCCTGTCAGTCTCCATCAGTTTTGGGGAGTGAGCTGGCTGGAGAACATCTTCCCTGTGACCACAGCTTGCAGTTACACAAATCCATGGGTTTAAGAGCTGCTGTGAAGGGAAAGGGAGCTGTGAAAGCCTAAAGCTTTTTTTCCTGCAGCAAATTTATCCAGAGGATAGGTTATACCCAGGGTTTCTTCCTTCAGATAATTTGTTGGCAAAGTAAATGCAGCTTCAGCAACCTTGGACTTTTGCTCTCAGTAAAATAACTTGGCTGGTAGATCAGCCTCTGACTCTAAGTGTTCCTGTCAACCCTCAAAATACTTGAAATAAAGGGATGTTGGACCATGATTGTGGCAAAGTTACTTCAAGGCATCACAAAAGACAATTACAGGAGCTATTTTTCTATCTCCCATTTCAAAATCTCCACCACAGTGCAACCCATTGGTGCATCTGGGTGGTGAAATGCTCTCAAGGTACATCTCACTGTGTTTTCCTGGAGTGGCTGAGTTGGGGTGGTGTGAATGCACTGGATCAAAGCTCTGCTGTGAGGATTGGGAGAGATGAAAGGAGGGCTGGACTTCACCTGAGAGAGCAAAGAAAGAGTTCTTCAGCAGATATTTACAGCACGCTGATGTCTTTTCAGTGGGAAGAGGTTTAAGTAAACATAAATGCACTTTATGATTCTTTAATGCGGCCGGTGTATAGAAAACGTGGAAGAGCTGCAGGGGAAAGATTGAGTATGTTCAAACAGGGAGAAAAATTAGACAATTCTTTTTTCCCCCTACTCCACCAAAAAAACGTCATTCACCCATTCTGATCCAGTTTCCCATTTTGCTCTTAGACTGCAGTTCTGTTCCTCCTCTGGCCTCCAACCCACCTCAACCCCTTCTAGGGAGGCTTAATTTGGTTTTTTGCAGTCTGACCCGAAACAAGCCCAAGTTAAAATCTTTCCCCTTTGACTTCAGTGAGTGCTCCATAAGATCCTTCAAACCCAGCCCTGCTCACAGTTCTGCTGCACTGATGGAAATTCATAGACTGCAGTGGAGTTGGGATGATGATGCTGTTGTAGAATGAGAACTAAATCAAGGCATCAGTGATGAAACTGAAAAAATAAACTTT